CAGGGTTTCTCTGCATAGCTTTGCACCTTTCCTGGAGCTCACTTGGTAGCCCAGGCTGGCCTGGAACTCACAGAGATCCGCTTGCCTCTGCCTCCCAAGTGCTGGGATTAAAGGCGTGTGCCACCACCGCCCGGCTTCTACATATAACTTATATCCATTTTTCATTTAAATTTTAATTTTAAAATGGGAATATAAGGCCTAAAAGTATACCTAGCTTGAAACTTTTTCATGTATTTCTTATAGTCATGGTATTTTAGACAAATAATACAATTACATATTTCATTTTTATCCTTAGTACACCAAGAATAATCATCATGTTGACACGGTGATGACAATTTTGACAAATACATGACATTATTGTAAATATATGAGATTCCTGACACTTAGCAGGAGTTTAACAAGTGTTCCTTGTAGTTGTCTGTTGGATCATTTTCACAGTTGCTATGGTGACCTAGAGTCACAGACTCTGACAAATTTCTGTATAATTTGTGATGAAAAAAATTTAGAAAATTTTCAGAACAGAAAGCCTGCATTCAAAGGAGCAAATCTCATTAATCGATTAATTAGTACTTCTCTGGGTACAAATAGTTTTGATCACAAGCCTGATTTGAATATTTAAGAGAAGCTGTTAGCTGCACTCGAGCAGAAAGGGACATTTCTATCACAGCAAGTCATCTGACATCGTAATTACTCTCTGGGTCAGTGGGAAAAAGAGGAAGTGAGAGTTTCATGTTTCAAGCACAAATCAACTTCCATAAAAGGCAGCAGCACCACTCTTTCTAATCAGAAGTGAACATCAATTTCTCCATTCCTTTGAATTCAGAGTTAGATTAATTTCTTTACTGGTGTCCCCCTGTAAAACCTTGAAATGCTGTAAGTAAAGTGCTGGCTGTGAATGTATGAGGACATGAGTTCTATCTAGCGCAGCCACATGAAAGTGGCATAGTGTCATGTAATCCCAATGCTGGAAAAGCAGAAGTGGATGGATCTCTGGGACACGCTGGCCAGCAACCTTGGTATAACTGGCAAACACCAGGCTAGCGAGAGACCTCAGGTTAACATTTGTATATCACTTTAGCAACATTGAAGAAAGCTGTCCACTAGTTAGACAGCTGGCAGCAAGTGTCGGGAAGGAAGGAAGGGTGCTATTTGTTTATACAGAAGGCTGCCCTTCTGTGAAGTGCCAAGCATGCAAAAATCTTCGTGGCTCAGTCCGCAGAGACCTTCTTACATGGGACTACAGCACAGTCCTCTAGCTGTTCTGCATCGGGTCTCATTACCTGTAATCTCTCACAATGCACTTCGCAAACTTTTATTTTGTAAAAACAATCAGTATTTTAGGCGTTGGGGGGCCACATAGCCCTCCTCATAACTGAACAACTCCTCTTCCTTTTTCATGTGCAAACTATAAAAAACATTTTTCCTGTGAATGATTGACCGTGCTTCAAGAAATCACAATCTGCAAAGTAAGCAGGGAGGCTGTCGCTCCTGCCATCGATGTCCTCTTGTCATCAGTGTACCAGCATTTTGTTTCTGCTATCAGAGTTGATGCATCCTCTGCCATTCTTAAGCACCAAATACAAAGAACATTACACACACACACACACACACACACACACACACACACACACCACACTTTTTCACATCAGCCTCCATACAATCAAAATACAACGTGAATTGTTGGTTATGATTGCACACATTTACACACATACACACACTAATTTTTATATCAGCTTCTATACAATCAAAATACAATGTGAATTGTTGGTTATTATTGCACATACTTACACACACACACACACACACTTAGAGACAATAATGAGCTTCTGCTCATTCAAAACCAATAATAAAGTATTCTGTCCAAAATTTAGCATCTGGCCTCCAATAAATTACTATCATTAAAAATATCTTTGCCTGGATCCACACTAGTATGGAGATAGCACTTAACTCTCTTAATTATTTTACTACTTTTTTTGTTTTGTTTTTTGTTTTTTTCAAGACAGGCTTTCTCTGTGTAGCTTTGCGCCTTTCCTGGGACTCACTTGGTAGCCCAGGCTGGCCTCGAACTCACAGAGATCCGCCTGGCTCTGCCTCCCGAGTGCTGGGATTAAAGGTGTGCGCCATCACCGCCCGGCCTATTTTACTACTTTTAAAAATTAAAGTTGTGTCCTATAAACACATTCCTGTCACCCTGAGAACGTGAGAGTATTAGTTATTCCTTGTTCTCCCAATATTTCAGATTTTACGAAATGTCCCAGAAGTATTTTTATACCTCAAATTTGAACCCACTTTTACTATGATAATTCCACCTTGCCTTTTGGCTTTTATTTGGATTAACAAGGATCCTTTCATGGGCTCTCAAGTATCAATTTACGTGTAAGGTTCTGCTTATCTGTATGCACACGTCTGCTCTAGGATTCACTGCTGTTATCTTTGCTGTCTCTTTACTGATTGGACTCAGATCTTGACCTCCTTCAAACATTTTTAACTTCTCATTTTTCCCTCCCATCCATTAAAGCTTCCTTTTTATATTCAGACTTTTGGGACATAGCCATAATTTGTCTAAACCCAATCTACCAATGTTTTTCTCAAAAGAAGATTCTCCATGAAGCTTGTAAATCAGGGAGCTCCTCATCTGAAATGGGAAGACAATTTATTTCTTCCTCTATTCATATTTTCTTCCTTGTTCTTAAAGATATACCTTGTTTCCATGATGGTTCCAAAGAATAGGTTTCCTACAAGTGGCTTATTTCTTAAGAATTTTTATGTTCTCTTATACCAGGATGGCAATCAAGCTCAATTAGTGCCCAGTCATTATTTGAGGACATAAGTAGATTTTTGTTATGATTTACCTTTTAATATAAAATATCATAATCCTACTCCCCCCAATCTCTCTTCTGTATTCATTAAAATCCTCCAGTTCTCTTCTTATTACTGTTTGTTGGAAATTGCCTTTGGCTGATGATGCCTCTGCATAGTTCATTTTCTCTATTGTTATTTCCTTATGATTCTGGTGGTTTCATGTTTGCTCTTGGCCTGTATCACACAATGGAAGCCTACCAGCATATTTCATGTAAGTGATGGTGTATTAAAGCATGGTGCACTTATAAATTAGGAGGTGCTTGGACAGTATGATATTGGCTTAGCCATCCTTGTCAGGGCATGGAGGGTTGTTTTCAAGTTTGCTCACTAACTCTTACCCTTCATGAATAACATTGCCTGCTCCACCAATTTCTCCTTAAATACCCTTGGAGACCAATAAACTTGAATATATTCTGGGACTCTGCCAAGGACTGCTATAGCTCGTCCCTGAATTCTGCTGCAGAGGGAAAAAGGTTGGGAAATTGTTTTCTCCCCAGAGGCTCTGGCTGAGAACATCTCGCTCTTGATTTCCACCCTTTCTCCATCAGCTAAAGAGCTACCTGGCTCTCAAGAGAGCTAAAATGGGCTGCAATCCTAAAAGGGAAAAGAAGTTCACGACTTCCAGTAAGGAAGCTTTATATGAACATTCACAGACAAATCAGAGTAAGACTGGCATATACATTTAAATGAAATACAAAAATTATCACTCAAAAATGTGTCTTGAAAGCATGTGGAATCTTACAAAGATGGCAAAAAATAATGTGACTATTTAACATCATTTTAATTGCTTTCAAGAAATTTATTTATGGAATGAAAATAAAGAGAAATATCAGTGAGTAGAGAACGTGTTCTGCAAACTCAAAAACCTTGAGACCTGTACCAAAATATTTCAATCACAGTACAGCCGTGCATTGAGATGAATCTTAAATTCATTACCTGTTGCTTATTCCCTAAAAGTGAGAGGGAGGCATTTGTACTTCACCTGTCTGCACATTTAAAATAACCTCAAAATGAGTAATGTAGATTTATATTTTGAAATAAATATGTAATTGCTTAGCAAATGAATAGTTTTATTGATTGATGAAGCAATGGCTTCAAATCCTAATGCTATTATAGTTAAGAAGGACCTGTAGGCTTATAAAAAATGGAGCCTTAAGCTCAAGATGTCATGCACTTTATCTTCAAAGGAGTTACTGTTGAATGTGTTGGCATTTACTATTACACAATAATATGAAAGAAAATTTACATAATCAAAAATAATGCCCTTTAAGAAAGAATTACATGTTATTCAATTTACCGGTTTTACCTTGAGAGATCCAAACCATTATCTATACATAATGCTCAAAACTTTATTTTAATAAATAATATATGATCCAATAATCGATACATGTCTTTTTGCAATAAAAAATCTTAACATTTTAGAAGTTTCTCAAATTTATACAAATATACAACATACATTTTAAAAAGTTGGTCAAAAGATAATTTTTGTATTATCAATAATATGCATTAATTTTTACAATGTAAAAATAATTTTCTTACCCATATCTGACATTTCAGGCACAGTAACGATGTATGGTCCATCCGTGAACTTTGGTGCATTGTCATTGATATCTTGCACTTTGATGATGAACTCGGATTCAGGTTCAAGAGGCTTGTTTGTCCGTCTGTCAATAGCCTGGGCATGAAGCACATAGTGAGTCTTCTGCTCTCTGTCCAGGCTTTTGGTGGAGTGGATGTCACCTGTAGTGTCATCGATGATAAATATAGTCCCAGCACCTTCCCCAGTGAGGATGTACTTGACAGATCCATCACCTTTGTCGGAGTTGGAGTGCAGCTGGAAAACAGACCCAGGCAAAGTCAGCATGATTTATATTCTGATGACATATATTTTCCAAATATTATCAAGAGATTGAGACTTGAGCTTTCTTTTATACTGTGAACTACATGCTACCACAGCCATTGCCTTTCTTATAGTTTTCTCTACTTTATATTAAGTAGATCTTGATTTCTCTGAGATTCAATAACTGTATAAAAAACTGATAAACAGTATGTTTTTATTTTTAAGAATCACCATTGTCTTTCTTCTGATTTAACATGACACAGTGTAATATAAAGTTGGGAAAAGTCATTTCCATTACTGCTTTCCATGCCTGGGGGAATAACATTTTCATTAGGAAATTATTATGAAAATTATCCAACTCTGATTGTTGACGTTAGGTCTTGAAAGAGTAAGTAGGAGAAACTGAAGTTAAAAACTAAACCATCAATTTTTCAAAAGCCCACAGATGTATCACCAAGGTACCAGTTTCATGATTTGTAGAATTAAAAGTGTAATATCATTTAGGATAAATATTTTCAATTAGAAATTATACATTTTGTTGCTATTTTTATTCACAAAGGGCTTGAAAATATGACAAAATCTCGTTAGTGGTGAAATAGTTAATAAGTAATATTGACAAATGATTACATTTTTCTTTTCTTAAAATGAAAAAAGTATATAAGGTTCTTTTATAAATGTTAATTCTGTAGAAAATGGCTTCTGTAAAAATATTTTAGAATTTAAATAAATAAACCTCACTAACAAGAAGATAACATAGCAACTTTATGTCATTTAAATCTATGTGGATGATTTTAAATGGCATAGATTAAGTTGCAGGTAACTCAGTTAAGATTCTACTTTAATTTGATGTATGACACCACATATAAATAAAGTTGACAGCTAGGGGAAGACAAGTACTTTTGTGAAACCACAGATGTATGGTTTGAAGCATTGTCTCTCCCTCCCAAGAGATCAGAGTGGTTTCCTCTGTATGGAGACTTTGTTTGAATAAACTCAACTATTCACCCTCAACTTATTTCTGATATGAGGGACAATGAGAATACATTGGCCTGGTGCTCAACTAGGCAATTAGAGTGGCTGGCCAGTGAATCCCAGGAACCCAATTGTGTCTTCCTCCCCCAAACTGAGATTATAAGCATTTATCATTGTGCTCAGATTAAAAAAAAGTATCTTATGATTATGAATCTGTTGCTTGCATGTAAGTAAATTCATCATGTGCAAAATGCTCATCACTTATGAAGCAGACACTGGTAATCTGACAAAGCAACCCATTTCAGCCCTTCTCCATCTTTACAATCATTTGTGACTAACTCAGTAAAGCATCAAAGTTGTTGTCTCGGCATCTCTAAGAGCTGTTGTGAAATACTTGTTACTAACATTATAACATGAGAGATCATTTGGAAATATTTTTGTTATTCTAAAATAAAAATATGTATTTATAATATTAACTATTATAACTTACATACTTGTCAAGAAATGTTTTCTGATATTTCAGGAGTAATTTTAGAAAGACATAGCCATGCTTAAAATAACCATCAGAATATATGTGGTGATCACCTATATACTCAGTAAAATTACAGAGAAAATTTAGGGTTTTTTTTAATACTTGTACTATATTTGAATAAAAGGCATTCATGTATATATATATATATATATATATATATATATATATATATATATATATATACTAGAATAATTATAATTAAAGTTTTCAATATGAAGCATATATTCAAATTTTTCTCAGTATGTATTTTGCATAGATTTTTGTAAATTAGTCAGATAAAATAAACATGTCAGTAATTTTTATGAGTTTATCTTTTTAGGCATGAATCTAGTCCTTCACTCATGATATTTTCACAATTTGTAAAGCAATTAACATGGATGTCCCAGAATTTATGATTAATTTGAACATAGTTTATCACTGGTAGTTTATAAATGTAATATCCAATTTATAAAATTGGATAACATTACTAAGAGTTACATCAAAATATTATAAAATATATTTTGGAACTATCACATCAATTGTTCATAATACATAGCTTGAATATTTAAGTAATGGAGATGATTATTTTATTGATTAAATTTTTAATCTTTTAGTAAACTTGATTGAAGCTTGAAATCATTATTTCAATGTAGCAACAATGGAAACTATTACATTAGGATTTAATTCATTGATTAATAATTTATATAATTTTGATGATTACTGCTTCTGAAGGAGCAAAGTGATCCGTTGAGGATAAGCACCTCTCCACCTTTGCAATGATTTATGACTAACTGAGAAAAGCATCAAAGTTGTTGTCTCAGCATCTCTAAGAGCGGTTCTGAAACACTCTTTACTAATATTATAATATGAGAGATCATTTTGTAATATTTTTGTTATTCTGAAGTAAAAATATATATTTATAATATTAACTATTATAATAGTTGTTCTTTCTTTTTCTATCCTTTCTCCGTTATTCATTTACTCTGCAGTAAGTTTGAGCCTAAGAAAACCACACCCATTGGACTATGGATTTTTGTTTAATAAAAGATTTCTAAGTACCCAGACGGATCACAGCATGTACATTAGGCCTTAGGAAAAAAGAGACAAGACTCCAGGGGGAAGAATGTATGAGAGTATTGGAACTAAGAGAGAAGAAATGAGGTGCTTCCACACAGGGTGTGTGTTCAATTGAAGGATGAGACATAAAACAAAACATAGCAAGGTTTAGAAACAAATAAATGGTTTATTACCTAGATCTAGGCAATAGTAACAGAGATATTTTACTTTGCATGTGGTTCAAAATCAGGCTATAATTAAAAAGTATTAAGAGTAGAATAAGAAAATTATAAATATTCAGAACTATTAAATCAGAACACTGATTTAATAGCTACTAAAATGGTATTCGTTTGCTTTAATTTTAAAATGTAAATTAAAAAAAAATTGGAAAGTACCACAATATTTTGTGGAGAAAATATTCCAACTAATGCTGATTTATTTTTTCTGAAAATACCTCTTGATTCCACAATGACTGAACTTTTGCTGGGTCCTGCAGCCATATTAAAACTTGCCTTGAGAGTATTGTAGTTGACCTGCTATCCAATGTGTACTTAGCTTGATAATGTTTAATATGCCTTTAAGAAAAGACAATGTAACCAAACTTGCTGTCCTTGGATTTCTCATGCAATTATCTTCTATAACTTAAACTAAAAGCCTAATTTTAATATGTCTATAGAGCCTCCCATGTCCTTGACCCAGAATTTCTCTCCCCCCCCCTCTCTCTCTCTCTCTCGTGTGTGTGTGTGTGTGTGTGTGTGTGTGTGTGTGTGTGTGTGTGTGTGTGTGTGTGTTATGGAATCATTTGCTTTGCTTCCAATGTGTTGAAAGCAACATTAAACAAAACACATATTCCATAAATGTCAGAATTAACTTGTGGATAAAATCTTTTTTGTAACTTCAAGTGCTTATCTGGGTCAGTGAACGTCTTGGTACAAGTTCCTATTGCTGTGACAAAACACTATGACCAAAAAGCAAGTTGAGGAGGAAAGCATTTATTTGGCTTGTAGTTCCAGTTCATACTCTGTCATTGGAGGAATTCAGAACAGGAACTCAAGCAGGGCTGGAACCTGGAGGAAGGAGTTGATGCAGAGGCCAAGGAGATGAGCTACTTACTGGCTTCCTTCCCCTTGGTTTAGTCAGCCTGATTTCTTATAGAACCCAGGGCCACCAGCACAGGGTTGGCAACAATCACAATAGGCTAGGCTCTCCCACATTGATCACTAATTGAGAAGATGTCTTACAGCTGGATCTCATGGAGGCATTTCCTCAACTGAGCCTCCATCCTCTCTGGGTCAAGTTGACACACAAAAATACAGCCAGTGCAGTTAGGGTTAGGGAAGTAACTTTTTTCTTTGTATGACTCTGTTAAATATTTTTTAAAATAATTCTCTCACTCCTTTTTTAGACTCTGTTTAATATGTTATTCAATAAATACTGATCACTTTATTACAGATACAGATTTATACAAAGAATAACACATAGGCAACATGTACAGACAGGTCAGACACATGATAGATATGCCATGGACAGAGCATTAACCACAAACTAATAAAAGATATAAGTTAAAAAGTGGTGAATTCAAATTTGGGCTCATTATTGCTCAAATTAATCTAAGAGAATATTTCTGTCTCATTCTTTTAATATAGCACTGATATATTTTGGTGCCTTCTCTAAGTTTTCTTTAGTACATTAATTAACATTTCTATTAAAATAATAACAGGGTCTTATAACATGCAGAATGAGGAATAAATATCCAGACTTCTGAAATTTTGTGAAGGAGGTTACACTGTCATTTTTGTGGGCTATTGGAAGTAGAGAAACTTCTCGTGTGTCTAATTGCATAATAAACAATGATAATCAGTTCCACTTTAGCAGACAAAGAGAAAAAGGGGTGAAGAAGAACAACAGGAAGGTTGTCACCCAAGGAAATAGTGTGAACAATTTTCTTGCGTTACCTTCATGGAGTGTCTTTTTCTTGGTGTTAAATAGAAACATATGGCATTCCCATAGCTAATGTGACACACATGAATTCACTCCAGAAAACTATTTATGCACCCTAGACCACATTAGGGTTGTGACCTAAAAATTTATAGCTTTCACTCCAATGCACAGTTGCTCACTAGGATAATATGTGATTCCTTAGAGACGAATAATTTTCAAAAGGTTAAGGACATGGTGGCAGAGTCATTAATTTTGAAAGTTGCTTTGAGTTAGGACTTCAAGCTCTATTACAAAGGTGGGTCACTGAGTTAAAAATGGAATATAATATGCTGTATAACGTTTGTGTAGGAGAAGTGCTTATGCTTATAGTTCATTGGAGAAAAAATAAGGGTAGACATCCAGTGTTAGCAACCCAGCATTATCAAACCAATACTGTTTTGATAAAAATTTGGGTAAAGCAATGTGGGATATGAAAGTCACAGTAATTTGTGTTCCTGACAATTACTAAATCTAG